CAGCCCCATGGCAGCACTTCTGGAAGAGCAGGCCAGGGATAAAGTTGCCCGATTTAGCCAATGAAAATACAGAATGCCCACTTAAATTTCAATGTCAGGTGTCACATGGGACATGCTTATACTTAAAAAAAAAAAAAAAAAGTATATCTGAGGTGCCCGAAGCAGCTTACTGATTTCTACAAAGCTCTGGCATCATGTGGTCATAACCTGTTGGTTTGTTAACCTCACCCCTCTCCCATTCAATTCCCTTGCATATATGGTAAGTCAAGAGCATGCTAACTGCCATAACTATTATACCTTAAAATATATAGTGGTTGAACAGAAGTTTATTTTTTGCTAACTAAGCCAGTCACTAAGCTGGAGAGGCCCTCCTCTATGCAGTATGCAGTCACTAAGGCCTCAGGGGGATGAAGGCCCAGTCCAGGGTGTCCTCTGCATTCCAGCCTGATGGAAAGGAAGAGCAAGGAGGAACACCTGTGGGAGGTTTCTACAGGTCAGGCCTGAACTGGGGCAGACATTTCTGCACAGTCCATTGGCTGAACTCAGTCACAGAGTCTTGTGTAATGGCAGGGGAGCCTGGGAAATGTAGTCAAGCAGTGTGTGCAGAAAGAAGACAACAGGAATTTGAGTGAGCAATCCCTGCCACACCCTTTATGAGGTCTGTCTGTGGGTCCCATGTAGGTCAAAAGATTCTGGATCAATAACCTTTGCTTTAGAAGAACTGGCACATACACACCACATCCTCACTGCTACAGAAAATGTGATTAAGAACAGAATTAAAGATCATCACACTAATTTTTTCTAGGTGTTGCAGTTTGATAACCAAAGGTGTTACCTATCAAATAGTTCTCATTAAAAGGAATAGGAAAAGTCCATTCTGTGGTTCCAAATTCTAGCTGCTAGCCCACTGAGTTAATGTTGTAGTTTCCTATTACGATAAAATTTACCACAAATCATTCCAAAACAAATGTTCCCCCCGAGTTTTTGCTTATGTAAATGTAGGTTGCCATGACAACAAAAAAATACTGCCCTTGATCTTATGGCAGAGCTTGCTAAGGAACAAGAAGCAACTAGCTGGTCCAGACATAAACCTAATCCCACAGGCATGCCCAACAAGGGAAATGAGAAACTAGGGCAATTTTTTATTCAAAAGAAAAAGTAAAAGTAGGGGAAGAACTTGATTCTAGTGGGAGAAAAGATGCAGCCAGAGAATTTAAATAAACCACTTCCTCTTGTTACATTCTTTTTTGGGGAATGGGACCTGGCTTTCTCCTTTTTCTCATCACCATACTTTGCCATATATAATGCACACCCACGTTTTGGTGTATTGTACATGGGATTATGCAATTGGTATGCCCATGTATAATGTGCATCCTTATTTTTCCCTCAAAAATCTGGGCAAAAAAGTACACATTATGCATGGCAAAATGTGGCACATCATAAGACTCCTAAAAGGGTTTGGGTCCAAGACTCAGGCCAATTCTCTCGACTTCCAGCCTACCTTGACATTGGTTGGCACAGGGTCATGCCCCCTCACCATAATGTGCAGAGAATTCACAAGGACCCTGCTCTTGCTAGCTGCCTTCTTCAGTTGCTACCTCTGAGGTCTATATATTCTGAAAGACCTAAATGACAGACTGATTACTTTGATTAGTGTTTAGAATATATTAGGCTACTTTCATTATAACTGATACTTTATGTCACAGGATTCGGACTGTTTATAAGTATGGCTAAAGCTAGAAACTAAAAATAAGATACAAGTGAATAATCTTCATTGAGTATAGTTCCACTCTTTAGTGATCCAATCGCCACCCCTTCTGTGGAAAGGAAAAGGGACATCACCACAACTGAGGCTGGGCTTTGATAAGCATTCCATATTTCTGCAATGGAAGGACCCTCCTAAATGGCTTTTAGTCTGACCGATATTAAAAATGAACTTACATTCTTTGAACACATACAGGACCTGCACGCATTCAGGGTGGAGGGCGCCGGGGCAGGGGCGGCTGAGAGGTAACCAGCTAGATCCCTATTCCCCAGGACTCATGCCGGCGGAGGAAAACATGGATTTGACAAATAGGCATTGCCTGCTGTGAAACAGGTCCTGTGTGGGCTCTGGGGATGTAATGAGCAAATGAGATGAGGCTCCTGTCCTGCTAGGGCTGGTTTATAGCCTGAGGAGATGGAATGAAATCATCAGAGAAATACATAATTACGACCTGAGAGGAGTGCTGTCTAGGCGAATGATGTGATGACTGTAAATGGGATTTGGGGGTTCGAGGAGGACATCTCTGAGGAATGGACATTTAAACTGGCAACAGTTGTGGGAGGAAGATGGGACAGGGAGGAAGTTTCCTAGAGTGGGGAGCTGGAAGGAGAGCCTGCCAGAAGCACAGAGGTGTAGGTAAGACTGAAGAAAAGACCATCACGGCATGTAGGCCAACCTACAGAATGCAGACTGGGATCGAAAGAAGACCATCAGAAAGCTTTTTAAGCCAGGGAGTTCCACGACCAAGTTTACCTCGTGGGAAGACCACCCTTGTTGCTGCAGTGGTCCCGGTGGTCCTGCAGGACAGCTGAGGGCTACTCGGAAGCCAGTGGTGGTCTACAAACGTGCGACAGCAAGTATTTGGGAGGTGGAGCTTACGGGACTTCGTGATGCACTGGCTGTGGACAGGGACGTCTGTAAATGGGCCACCAACTTGAACGTTAAGCAGAATCATCAAAGCCAATGTTTACTAAGTGCCAGGTAGTCCTGCACTGACCAGGGACATTTGGTGGAGATGGCAAGAGGGGCTGTGACCTAAACCACACCGTTGTCTGCACATTTCAAGCTGTGAGCCCAGCACAGGGGAAGGGGGTGCCTTTTCTACTGGTTACTCACAAAAAGGTGTGCTCTGCTCACTGAGCTTTGTATCTGGTGACCCTGACAGAAAATTTTTGGAGAGCCACCAGGGGCACCTATGGGAATGATGGGTGCGGTTATTCCTAGGGTGTAAGACCCACAAGGGCAGAGTCTATTCCACAGGAGTACCACTTAGAACTACCATAATCTGATAAAAAAATTCTAGTCATTGAAGCACCCAGACAGCCAAGAAAATATAATCAAGCCCCTCTTGGTGATAATGGATGAAAGAGTACCTCTTTTCTGTGTCAGTAGGCATCCTTGAGTTCATATGTTCTCTCAAAAAAAAAAAAAATTACAAAACGATGATGAATGAGGTTAAGACTGCTATCACCTATTGTTGGCAGTCTTTGGACACTGTGGCACCACTGGCAAGGCAGCCCAACTACCATTAAGAGCCCCCAGCAATAAAGGGCTTATGGGAACCCCGAGTCAAGCTGGAAGCCTAGGAGCAGAGCAAGGTAGCACTGAGTCAGCACTGGAACCTGCACAAATGGCAGAGTGACTATACGAAGCGCCATCCTGCAGCACACAAAGGCTGGGGTAGGTCCAGATGTACCTAACAAGCAGCAGTACTGCACTCCTACATAGTACCAGACTCACTTTCACTCTCAAAATAGACTTTCTCAGCACAAAAGGACAAACCTGTCTGTAACCTCACCTCAGTGTTCCACTTTTCTGAGTGCCTTGCTGGTACTCAGAACCTTGGAGAAGCCCACCAGCTTGAAATGAGGCTAGAAACTCCGTGAAGTTCTAAAGGGAACAGAGGGAAGCTTTGAACCAGTGAACCTTCACATAACTGATCACTCCTCCCCATTCCCCAAAAACTAAAATATCCATAATCTCCCCAATTTGAAATAGGAAGACAGAAAAGGCCCTGCCAAGCCAGTTCACCTCTGAAAATTTAGTCAATCTGAGTGCTCACTTGCCAGGTCTAAAATCTAGGCAAATCAGGCCAACCACAAGAAATATTGGAGGCATTCCTTTATCCAAAAGCAAGACTGACAGCTCGTTTATTTCTGCTTGTGTTCATTCTGTATCCCTAGCAGGGGTGTCCAACCTTTTGGCATCTCTGCACACACTGGAAGAGTTGTCTTGGGCCACACATTTTATGGTTTTATGTTGGGCCACATTCATAGCCATCCTGGACTGCATGTAGCCCACAGACCACAGGTTTGACACCCCTGCAAAGATCCTCAAACATTGCTTTCAACCTCACTTTTCAATTAAAAATCCTCATCCAAGGATGTATTTATTTTTAGAGAGGAAGGGGGTGGGAGGGTGAAGAGGAAGAAACCTCAATCAGTTGCCTCCTGTAAGTGCCCTGACCGAGGATTAACCCTGCAACCTTTTGGTGTATGAGATGAATGAGCCACCTGGACAGGGCATGAACCTCACTTCTTTTTCTTCTTAAGATTTTATTTTTAGAGAGAGGGGAAGGGAGGGAGAGAAACATTAGTTTGGTTTGGTTGCCTCTCACGCGCCCCCTGCTGGGCACCTGGCCCACAATCCAGGCATGTGCCCTGACCAGGAATCAAACCAGCAAGCCTTTAATTCACAGGCCCGAGCTCAATCCACTGAGCTCCACCAGCTAGGGCTGAACCTCACTTCTTGATGACTTCTTTTTTTAAAGACTTATTCATTTATTATTATAGAGAAGGAGAGAAGGGAAGGGAGGAAGAAAAAGAGAGGAAGAGAAACATCAATGCATCAGAGATCACATCTTAACATGCCTCAGCTGAGGACCTGGCCAGAAACCCAGGCATGTGCCCTGACTGGGAAGCAACATTTTGGTTCACAGCCCAGCACTCAGTCCACTGAGCCACACCAGCCAGGACTTAACTTTTTTTTTTTTTTTTGCCTCCCACCTTATCCCCCTCATCTCTTTTTCTTCAGGATATCTGTGATAGCAGAGCTCCAAACTCTTACCCTCCTCCTGCCAAAATTAGAAGAACTATTTTCACATTTTCTTCTATGGAGGGGCCTCTTCTCTCTTCATATCTGTAAAATGAATAGAACTTAATCTGAAGATCAGGGTCACAAGAATAAAAATTTGTATGAGTATTCCAGACTATGTAAAGGCACCCAACATGCAACGTTTTTTAAAACATTATTTTGACAGTTTATTTTTTGACAGAAAGTCGCAACATTCTTTTACCACCTTGCAGTTATGTGTGTGAATGCCAAAGTTAACTCCCTTTGGAGTAGGTTCCTTTATTTAACTCCGGGTGGACACTCTGCTGTCTATGGCAGTAAGTAGGTATGTTTTGGGTCCAAGGCGGAACACAGAGTAAGTGACTGGTAAAGAGTGTCCTTTTCATTTTAAAAGTTCAGCACCCATACAACACAAAACTATAGTGTTATGCCAATTTTAGGTATATATATTAAAACACTGTGTATGTGTCTACAATTATCTACCAGAAAAATGTGCTACTTAAATAAAAAAGGAGATATCTAGATGTCTATACTAACATTCTAAAACCCTATTGTACAACATCCAAACTTCTCATTTACTTTACAAAGCTCCCCCGCCACATCCCTACTTTCTTTATACCCACACATAACCATTTCTAGGTAAGTTTGATGTTCTCTGTTCATGTCATTCCAGACTTCCAATTATATGATCATTCTTACATTCCCTTCAAGTCAGTATTTTATGACTTCTGGAGACCCTTTAAACCACCACTAGTGAACAATCCCAGTTTCAGTTAGTACCCACAGAGTGTATGTAACTATTTATCATTATATGGCTGTAGGCTCAGTGTGCACAACCATTATTCCCTAAGCATAACAGACTTAGCTCTTTCATGAAAAATATTCAAAGATTACTTTCTTCAAAAGATCACCAAGCCAAACATTTGGCCATATTTTTATTTACTACATATACTATAAACATATACAATACATGCTACAAAAAAACATTTTTCAAAATTTAACTGTCAAGAAAGTGTATAGTGTTATAATACAATGGCACATGTTCGTATTTATTTCAAATTTGTTTGTTTATCACCCATTTCAAACCATTAATAGTGAAATGTTACTTAAGGATAATTAAAAATTATCTATTTGCATTATTAACAATAAACAATTCCAACAAATTAATAAGAATTAACCATGTCAAATATTAGTATCCAAAAATTGGGCTTTTGCAGAAATGATTATATAAAATATAGCAGCCAATTTCAGTTTACTCTGCTCTGTGACAATGTATATATGCACTTGAATAGGATTCTAGTATTTCTTTTAGGAAGATACTTTTAAGTCCTTTGATTTCTTAAGGTCCACATCCAGCCCAATCCAACCTGACAGTTCATATAATGGCTTCAGACAACCCATCATTGAGAAATTCTTATGATTTAGGTAGAGTTGCATGTTACACTATTACATAATATGAAAAGAGACATTATAAGCCAATATCATAATGTCAAAGGCAAAAGAAAATACAAACATTCAAATCAGTTGTGACAAGGTTTTTCTACAAATATTTTAGATGTCATACTTTTAGGAAAACAAGATTTACTGCGCATTTGGATTTTACAGTATGTAAGCTGTAACTGAAAATTTAACAAAGCTGTCAGATGGAATTAAGTCTTGTATTGCAAATTTGTTCACTCAACGTTGAGCACCCACTATGTGCATAGCACTGCGCTAACATTTTAAAAAGTCGAGTATTAATGTCTTTATCAAGCATTACCTTAGTGTGAGGTAAAAATATATTAAATTAGCGTCAACTCATTAATTTATTTGTAGTAATGTACGTAGTCCTGTGCCAGCTGGCTTCCCTGTGCTGGACAATGAGCTTCTGCACACCTCTCATTCACTCACACAAACATCTGCACGCCAACGGTGCCAAGCACTATGCTGGTCACGGGGAGGCCATGATTTGGTGTACATCGAAGAAGGCAAATTAACCATTACCTATGCAAAAGAATTCAAAAGGTACTTTTCTTTTCTAAAATGAGGCCCTAAGAAAAATATGAGGTGTTTCTATTGGTCATACCACACCATAGACCAGTTAGTGCCTTTCTAGACCAGAAACTAGCCTTGAAAATTTCATGTTGTAGTCTATATAGCCTAGATCATTTTTGGTCTCAGAAGTCTATTCTTTGGAGCACCTGACCCTATAAAAACCATTCCATACTTAACAGGATTTGTAAACTAAACTTGAAGATAAAGAAAAAGAGCCAAAAATGAAGGCAGTTTATAATGTAATGTACTTCAAGCACTATTCTGGCAATGTGAAATGAATAATACCTAAGTAATTCATGATTGATTCAAACATTTCTCAAAGTGCTAACCCTATCCCCAAACTCATGTAATTTTAACTTGACTTTTATACAAGTTGCACATAAAGTAAAGGGCGGAATTTGGCCCCACAACCTTCTATGGAACATTCTAAGTGATTGGTCCTTCCACTCCAAGTAGAAGTTAAGAATTCCAAAGGATCCCCTAATAGGATACTGGCACTCGGGAGAAACGAACGTTGCTGCTGGATCCCATCAGTCAGGAGTCTAGTGAGCTGCGGTAGCACTGTGAACCTACCCGGACCCCCTGAGGGAAGGCAGAGAGCTGCGAGTGTGGCTGTCCACTCAGTGAATCCAACATTGGCTTAAAGCTATGCACTGAATAAAGTGCTCTGCACATCCTGCTTGTCATCTGGAATGAAAATAAACACTTTTCTGGAGAATTAACCTATCTGTGGAAAAGGATGACAAGGGTTCAAAGAATCCCAAGAAAAAGTATGAAGCATTGACTAGGAAGGAAGACAAATGCCTCTAGTAGTGTCCTCAGAAATCTCAGGATTTGAACTGTCAGAATGAGTCATACAACGGTCATGTTCTATAAATGAAAAAGCAATCCCACTGGGTACTATTCACATGGTACATGATTACTTCACAGGGTGAAAGGGAACAGTCTATTGCCACTTGATAGGATGGTTTCGGAAAAAAAAACAAAAAAAAACACACACAAAAAAACAAAACAAAACAAAAAAAAACAATGCCATTGGATAATTCAGGGTAAGCAGTGTGCAATGCTTCTCTTCTGTCCGTCGGTTTTCCACAGGTTGACTCGCACTGCCTGAGAGAAAGGAGGCAAGATGCCTACGCCCTCTAATACCTTTAGGCATGGCGGCTATCACCTAAAATTTCCAATTCAGAAGTTAACACACAAGCCCTCCAGTTTTGTACCCTGAATGTGGTAAATGGGACTAGCGATGTAGTAGTTCAGTCTAAAAATAATCACAGGTAACAGAACGCTTATATAAACTAGACTGTTTTGACATCTGTAAGAAAATTGTATAGATGGCAATTGAAGAGAAAAGAAAAAGATTGTTCCCATCTGTCAGCAAAACTGTTTGTTGAGCTATACTCAGCTGAAGTCCTCATCAGGATTCTGTTGATCCAGCAGACGGACATGTGTGAATGGGAAGTGACCTCGTTTGCCATTACACTCCCCTTCCCACTGACCACTGACATTAATCTTCGTAACCTTTACCAGCTCACCGACCTGCAGGAGGAGAATAAGGAGAGCACTTTATTTCCAGTTACGAATGAAAGCTGACAAACTCCATTTCTGATTAGGCATACCCTGCCCACATGACTGCTCTAGGTCTGACAGTACAGAATGGATACTTGCTGCCTCCCGAGCCCCAGCCACCAGAATGATTACTTGTGGTTAATGCAGGCAGAAAGAAGTGATTTTAGCAGTGCAGAAAAATACACAGAATACAGAAAACAGAAAGGATCCTAGAGAAATGATATTTTTTGGAAGTCTTAAGTGTCTTTTGATGAGTAAGCCCAACCAGAGTAAGCTATTGTTCCTTTCCTTCATACTCACTGCTTTTAGATTCCTGCCTGCCCCATAGGCCCTGGCCTAGGGAAAGAAGTCTATGTGCCCACCCCCCAACTCCCTACGTAAAGAAGCGGCACAATTTCCCAGCCCACTCTCACACATATTGCGGCCTGTCACTACTTGTAGAGCAGGAGGCAATCATAGAAAGCATACTTCACTTGGTCCCAGAAAATGAAGTGTTCCCATCACCTTCCAACCAAGGCAAGGCATTCCCCATTTGGGCAGGTATAGGCAAAAACTCCAAATATCCCTGGCTCTCTGCAAAGCTCCCCCACCCCACCCCATCCCACCCTACCCCACCTCACCTCCCTGTGCACTGACAGACTTTATTGCTCCCTCAATGCCAATTGGTACCTGTTCATTAATAAGGGCCACATCATGTTTTTATTGTTACAAAAAAACTTCATGTTACAAAATCAAATACACAGATCTGAGCACTGGCTACTGTGGCTCAGTGGATTGAGTGCCGGCCTGTGAACCAAAAGCCACTGGTGCAATTCACAGTCAGGGCACCTGACTGAGTTGCAGGGCAAGTCCCTAGATGGAAGCGTGAGAGAGACAACCAATGCATGTATCTCTTGCACATTGCCGTTTCTCTCCCGTTCTTTCTCCCTTCCTTTCCCTCTCTCTAAAAGTAAATAAATAAAATCTTAACAACAAAAAAAATATCCCTGGCTACTGTGGCTCAGTGGTTTGAGTGCCAGTCTGTGAACCAAAGAGTTGCAGGTTCAATTCCCAGTCAAGGCACATGCCTGGGTTTCAGGCCAGATCCCCAGTAGAGGGCATGTGAGAGACAACTACACACTGATGTTTCCCTCTCTCCCTCCCTTCCCCTCTCTCTAAAAATAAATAAACAAGTAAATAAAATCTTTAAAAATAAATAACAAAGATGAAAAAAAAATTTTAAAATCTAAATGGTAAGGTTATTCTGATAGATGGATTCACGTGGTAGCAAAATATTAAACAATATTGCCCTGGCTGGTGTGGCTTATTTGGTTGGAGAGCCATCCCATAGACTGAAAGGTTGTCAGTTCAGTTCCCAGTCAGGGCACATGCCTGGGTTATTGGTTTGGTCCCTAGCCTGGATACATGGGAGAAGGCAACTATCGAGGTCTCTCCCTCCCCCACTCTCTAAAAAGTCAATGGGCATGCCCTCAGGCTAGGATAAAATATATAAAATAAATGTTTAAAAATTATTAAATAATATTTCATTTAATATTTGGAGATAAGGCCCCAGATGTCCCTGGACTAAAGAGCTCATAGCTATCTTTTAATCGTCGACTTCTGAGTACTGAGCATACAAGTGGTTTTTGAAGCATAACTGTTCATTTGTCTTTATTAAGTTAATAACTAGTATTTATTCAACTTTGATAAAGTACTGTAGAGGGTATTTTCAATAAATTATTTTCTAGTCATTGTAATAACCCTATAAAACAGGAATTGTTTTCATTTTACAAGTGAGAAAACTGAGATTCCAAAAAATTACATGATACACCTGAGGTCACACAGCTAATGGCAGGGCTGGGATTTGAGTCCAGGAGTATCTGGCTCCTAAAACACTTTATATTCTTTTTACTATACCAGGAAGTTTCCAATTATGCTGCCAGGGCCCTACAGGGTCCTAAGAATGTCTGCAGGCCAACTACTGACCAAAGCCAACTCAGGTCTAGGTCCAGGGCCTTCTCTAGAACCAGTCTGATCTCATTCTCGGAGGCAGCAGCTTCCCTACTGCCCTGTCTGTAATTCCCTAAAGAACTATCTGAAAAACACAGGCCTAAAGTGGTTGTGGAGGTCACAGGATACTGAGAAAAGGAAACAGAAACCAGGGAATATTAGAGAGATGAAGCGTAGGTGAGAAAAAGCAGTAGCTCAGCTTGCTGATATCGTAAAGATTAATAAGGCTGACGATGTAAGGGGAGGAAGGGAAAGAATGATACTGCATGTACATCTTGCCAAACAGATCTGACCCCTATAGGCTGTCAGCACCAGTGTTCTGTTTATTCCCAGCAATCTTCCAATTCAAAGTTCCTAACATCTGAGCAGACCAACTATGACAAGTAAAGATTTTTTTTTTAATTTTATTTATTTATTTTCAGAGAGGGAAGGGAAGGAGAAAGAGAGAGAGAAACATCAATGTGCGGTTGGTGAGGGTCATGACCTGCAACCCAGGCATGTGCCCTGACTGGGAATCGAACCTGCGACACTTTGGTTCACAGCCCGCACTCAATCCACTGAGCTACGCCAGCCAGGGCAAGTAAAGATTTTTATATAGTCTTCAAGGAGAGGAAGACCAGGACATCAAGTGAAATTTCCTTGCTAGTAAAATCACTCTGAAAAATTTCTTCCTTTATCCCCAACTCTAGTTCTCAGACTTTATTTCACTTGTTTTTTTCTTTTAAAAACTCTTAGTGTTGCTGCCCTGGATGGTGTGGCTCAGTGGTTTGAGTGACAGCCTGCAAACCAAAGGGTCACCAGTTTGATTACCAGTCAGGGGACATGCCTGGGTTGCAGGCCAGGCCCCCAGTAGGGGGCGCACAAGTGGCAACCACATATTGATGTTTCTGTCTCTTTCTCCCTCCCCCCACTCTAAAAATAAATTTTAAAAAAACCTCTTACAGTGTTGCAAGAAGCTAGGCACAGCATTAGCCCTGTAACACTTAACAGTTCCTTGGTGAATTTTCCTTGTGCCTATCCTGTCAGCTACCCCCAACTCCTCATCCTTCACACACATGCACATGCGCACAGCACATTACTAAAATCGCTAATGATGCTAGCTCCTTGCTCTGTTCAGGTCAATTATATCAAGTACAGAACTTCCTACCCCCATTTAAAATATTTATTTATACTATATGTCAAAATAGCCATATCATACTAAGTGCTATTCTGGTAACTGGATCTAGAATAATGTTAAGTCCCCCACTTAACAAAAATATTTGAGGGGATGTGTATGCTGATGTCAAAAATCTAATAGCCACTCATGTTAGGTTCTCTAGATGGGGACAAAGGGACCAATTTCTTTCAAGAGGCTGGTTTGATGACATCCCAGCTAACATCCCTAAGAGCTATCATATCTGAATCCATCATTTTATTGATGTTACAGACATACACAAAGGACACGAGGGAACATTCTGGAGTGCTGGAAATGTTCTATACTTTCACCTAGGTGGTTATCACACAGGTGAATATGCATGTAAACTGAGAGCTGTATACTTATGATTAGTACATTTTACCAAAGGATTTCAAATCTACATAAAAAGGTGTCAAGAGAATGTCTATTACATTTTACCCAGCTTTTCCAGGTGTTTTGTAGAAGATGGTTCTTCAGGATACAACCTTAATAAGCCCACCATTCTACTCATTACCTAAATCTAGGTTTCAACACCTCTATTCTCTCGGTGTTCCATGGTCTTTATTTTTAAAAATTCGAAGTGTCACAGGGCAGTAGGGAGTGATGGGGAGAAAATGGGGACAACTGTAATTGAACAATAAAATTTTTATAACTAAAGAAATAAATTTGAAGTGCCGTGTCACACTGCATCCCACAGAGCTGTAAACAAAAGGCAGGATGCACCGTGGACTGGACCAGCCCCTTGCTGTCAGCACCACAGACCCACCTGGCTTGTCTACAAGTGGGCAGAACCTGCTGGTCCACCCTCAGACCTTTCTTCTTCCAAAGTTCACAGGGAGAAACAGCAGGGGCACCTACAAGGCCAGATGTTTCTTGATGGGGAGAATTATATGCAAATTAGACCTCTGGACAACATTAGAACCATCTCTGCTATATATACATACTCTCTTGATCTTACCCTATAGGGGAAGGGTCAGAAAAACCATTCCATATTCTGGAATTCAAAATCTTTTTTTTAAAGATTTTATTTATTTACTTTTAGAGAGAGGGGAAGGGAGGGAGAAAGAGAGGGAGAGAAATTCGTGAAAGATGCATCATTCAGTTGTCTCTCGCATGCCCCCAACTGGGGACCTGGCCTGCAATACAGGCACATGCCCTGACTGGGAACTGAACCAGCCACTTTTCGGTTGGCAGGCCTGTCCTCAATCCACTGAGCCACACCAGCCAGGGCCGGAATTCAAAATCTTTTAGGTTCCTAGCAGAAAAGCCCAAATGTCAGTGGTGAAAGAAAGGCTATGCCATGAATAAAACAATTCTGATTTTTAAGTGGATAAAGAAAAAAGTTCTAAGCAGTAAACTGGGCTAATTAACCTGCCCAAAGTGGCCTCAAAGTACAAATACTTCAAGGAAGACCTTATTAAAATTAACTGTTTGAGCCCCAGCTGGCATAGCTCAGTGGATTGAGCGCGGGCTGCGAATCAGGCATCGCAGGTTCGATTCCCAGTCAGGGCACATGCCTAGGTTACAGGCCACAGCCCCCAACAACCACACATTGATGTTTCTCCCTCTCTCTCCTTCCCTTCCCTCTCTAAAAATAAATAAATAAAATCTTAAAAAAAGAAAAATTAACCCGTTGTACCCAAGGGGTCTTCTTCCTGAATATTCAAAGCACATAGGGATTCCTGGGGTCAAAAACAGATAAGCCCCTGGCCTTGGCCAGGTAGCTCAGTTGGTTAAAGCACTGTCCCAATATGACAAGGTTTCAGTTCAATTCCCAGTCAGGGTACATGCAAGAATCAACCAATGA